CACACACACACACACGCCGTTCGATAAAAATTCTTCCGTCTAGCACTCTCTCTGGCTTTCCGTCTGGTTTTATTATTCAAGCATACTATTTGCCACCGCGAATTTTTCATCTCCTACATTCTGCATTTTGGCGTTGCCCTACCTGCATCTCTACCACGTCCACGTTTTTCTACCTTTCGCTAGCCTTATGCTCGCTTCCTACTTTAATACACTCGCACTTCATTTCAGTCACAATATAGTCTCCTCAGGAATTGAGCGTACCGCGAAGAGTCAAGCTCTTGAGACGCGGCGTGTAACCATTATTATTGTCACTGTGTCCAATTTATCGGTCTGACTCCAAGCCAATCAGCTAAATCGTTAAACCCGCTTATTGTGGTTATTGCCACTCGATTATGACACGTCTGCGATGCCTGCGTACACGCGATACCGAAATCAGAAGACATCAAACACTAACGAAGGTTTTGACGGGTTTAGAGTTCTCTCACGCGAATAACTCTGTACATATAGCTTTCGCTCATACCTTCTCTTTTACAATTGGCATTTATTACGAAGGACATAGAGGTTTCGCGCGATACCGATCCACCGCGATGTATATCGAAATAGTGCCGAATTTTTCGCCCGCAGGTTTTTGCCCGAGTTTTTCGTTCGTCGTGCGCGTCCAGTATTTCCCGACGGACGACATGTGCAGCACACGGATGTGTTTGTATATGTCAGAATTTATATGAAATAACGCGGTGATTCTCGCCCGTGCTTTTAACGTCTTGGTTACAGTACTTGACGTCTGCATCTCCTCCGTTGATGGAGTTTGAACAGTGTCGACGTCGGGTATTCTTTCCATCGAGATAGGTACTATATCGATATCGACATCTGGATGACTTTACATATTGAGCCACACGCGACTTTCAAAGAACTCTATAAGCCAGATACGTGATTACAAAGATTGATTTTATAAGTAACACTTGTTTATATTATCTGTTGTGGATTTTAGATCTGTTCGAATTTATGTGAACATCTGTCATTAATTACTGCACTGCAAATCTTCGGTAGTCACGACAGTCTCACGACAGTTGTCCTTCTTTCGTGTGTTGTTTTTGGATTGCAGAGGTTTTAAGTCACGTCCGAATAATTTCTTACTTTCTCCGATATTGCTCCTCGCCGTAATCCGCGACGTATTGGCGGTTTCCGAAGCGATACGGATTAGCTCGGAATATCTCGTTCCCAACTTCGACGTTTAGTCGCTCGTCCTTTCCCCGTGGTTTCCTCAGTCAGGAGAATCCTTCCAACTTTCTGATTAACACTTCAGTTATCGTACCTCTCCTCGACAGATCCACTTAGATCTTGTCGTAATAATAGGATGCACGCTTCCGATCGTCGATACTGCGGGCTACTTGAGAATCTTCCTCAAACATACATCGATCAGCCGTGGGCTCGTTGATTGTTGAGGCAACGTCGACGCTTCTCGATCGTGATTCTCGATGTCCAGTCGCCTGTCTCTCTCGAATAGACAGACATGCTCCGACTCTGGTCACCAAAGCTCTGCAGTAGGCGTGAGAGTGTGCACCTCGATGTTCTCGTGACGATGATACCTGTCCGTCCGATGCACCGTGGCCCTTCGTGAGAGTACAACAGTCAGCGCCGCGACGGCGCCGAGGGCCGCGCCGACTAACACCAACATTCCGGGATGGGCGCCGGCGGACAAAGCCTCCGACACTCTAGCACCGGAATCGGTCGCTCGACTGTTCAATTCTTCCGCTATCGTCTTCGAGTCGCGCTCATCCAACACCACGTTTGCCTTGGTCGCATTGCTCATGCTGTCCGAGTGCTTCTCGATCGTTTTCCTCTCCACGTTCGAAGATTTCGACGAGAAGATCTCGCCGACGCCTGACGCGGCAACTTTGCTCATCGTGCCGTTTTTTCGCGCCCCACCGTCGGACCGGTTATCGAAAGTTTGCGAACGCGACTCCGCGTCTTCCATTCTCATAATGGATTGCTTGGGGTCGCTCGGTGCTTGAGAGGTCGGAACGACGATGTGCTTGATTAAATTCTGATCCATTGAGATACGATTTGTTTTATCGCTCTTTCGATCCCCGCTCGTCCGCGTCGACGACGTGATTGACGACGTTACGTTACGGAAGGACGTCGGCGCCTTGTAGACTCGCAGTATTTTTTTCGGCTCTGTCGTTGCGGTGACGATTTTCGCGGCGGAGAGGAAATCCGAGTCAGCCACCATTTTCGATTCGGTTTTCGCGTTTACGGAAGATAGCGTGAGAAAATCCGTGACGTTGCCGTCGGAATTCGTATCTTCGATATTGGAAGACACCGTGACGTTTGGCTGATCAGTATTCGACGTATGTTCGAGCGTGAAGACGACAGATAGGGTAACCGAGGTGCTTGTCGTCGTTGTCGTGACGATTCCCGCGGTTGTCGAAACGAAATTTGACGGCGGCGGTAACTTGTGCAAAAATAATCCCGCCAATTTCCGTGGATTAGAACATCGCGCTGTTTGGTACTGTTGATTCGGTTCGCGGTGCTGTCTGATCCACTCGCCCAGCCAGTAAAGATCCTCCGTGCAGTTCCAAATGTTCTTCTCGAGCCTAAGTACGCGCAGCTGCGGCAACATGTACGCGACGTCGGATCTGATGGTGCTGACGTTGGTCGCCGAGAGATTTAGCTCTATGAGGCTCTTGCAGGCGGACAATGCGGCATCATCCGCCAGTAACTGTCCCGCGAGAACCGGACTACGCGACACATCTAACATTACCAAATGCTCCGGAGTTGGCACCGGAAACGCCATGTCGCTTTGTTCTTCCTGATGTCGTTGAAGCGATGTTAGACCTGACATTCGGAGCTTCGTCAGATTACTCGGTCCACTTAGAGTATTAGTTGATAGCGCTTTGATAGGATTATTGGATAGATCCAGCTCGGCGAGCAAAGGCAGTTGACCGAGCGCGCCCACGTCGATCTCATTGATGGCATTATCGTTCAATATTAACGATCGCAGATTGTACAGACCATTGAGATCGTCGAGTTTCAATGCGGTTATCGCATTTCGATGCAACTTAAGCGTCACGAGACTGCTCGGTAAACTACCCGGTACTTTTGAAAGTGCATTTCCAGATAGATCGAGCTCTTCCAAAACCTCTAGCCTTCCCAGAGCGTCGTTCTCGATATACTTCAAACGGTTATCGGCGATATCCAACATACGCAACAGAGGATAGCTATCTAAGTCACCGCTGCGAATGGTAGTCAATCTGTTACCAGCGAGCCTGAGTGCCCTGACCGATCTCGTCAAAGCGGCTGGAACTCGCGCTAGTCCAATACGAGACGCATCCACCGTCTCTAATCTTCTTCCGGTGCCCAATAGTAGAGAGACGTCTCTCTCTTTTAGCGGATTTTCCGCTAACCTTAGAATAGATAGCCCCGGTAACGGTTGCAAAGTTCCCGAGGCTGCCCTAGCCAATCCATTTCGCGAAACGTCGAGTTCCCTCAATCTGTCGAGACTTTCGAACCACCTGGCGCCTAGGACTTGCAGCTGGTTACCGCTCAGATCGAGTTTCTGCAAGGAGTACAGCGGCGTGAGCGCGCTATCTGGCAAGTCCGCCAACCTGTTGTCCGATAGATCGAGAAATTCCAATCGATCGAGACCGCGAAACGCGCCCTCGTCCACCGTGCCGATCACGTTCTTACGTAAACTCAGTCGCACGAGCCCGACGAGCGTCCTAAAAGAACCGACACTGATGTTCGATAACGAATTGTCCGACAAATCTAGGCACGCCAACTCGCTTAGATTCATCGCGCGGATCACCAGCACGTCCCTTACTCGCGGCAAGTTGTTGCACGACAGATTTAACGACTTCAAGCGCTCGAGACCGTGCCACGACGCGTTCAACGACACCAACGAACAATTTGTCACCGTGAACTCGACCAGATACGGTAGAACCTCTGTTGTGCCCATCGGCTCCTCCGACGACAACGTATCGTTCGTTTCCGACGTGTCGTTTGTCTTGAGATTATCCGAAGCACCGTTCATCCCGAGATCGTTCACCAAGTCGGCGGCTTCCAGCTCGTCGAGGAGGACATCAACGCCCGGTCCCTTGACGCTGTCCACCGACAAACTTCTCACTACCGCGGGTAACTCCGATAGACCGGGTACGCGTCCGCGACACGTCACGTCCAGCAAAGCCAACGCGTCGTTTTTCTCCGCGTCATTCTGATGACACTCGCAGAGATCCGGACAGGCGGAACCGCTCGCCATCAAGGCGAGCAGCACCAACGGAAGCCACATTGCTTCCAAGACGACGTCTTCACATCTCGTCCACTCTCCGTATAGACCTCGCGGCGCAGTCCTCCCGCTCGTGGACAGAATGACGAGACGCGCGAGACGACGATATCGGAGATCGCGGGGGCGCGTGCCGCAACCGCGGGTTCATCTACGGGATGAAATTGACGCGCGATCGACGTTAGTGGCTATCGACGATGATGGATGCCGCCAAAAGCGTTATACGGCTTATATACGGATGCCAATACCGGCGGGTACTATCAGTCTCGTCGAACGTGATGTCCATACGAAGGACTGACAAACACTGCGGCTCCCGACTCGTAGCTGCACCCGCCACCCTTCACATCGCTCCTCTTCTCTTCTCTCCTCTACCCGCGTTTCGTCTTCCTACCCTTCCGTCGGCTTCTCTCCCTCTCGTACTCTCACCCTCAACGCCAATCCCCCTCTGTCTCCGGACTCGGCTGTGTGCCGCCACCTACAACCATTCCACCCCTTTCCCCCCCGTATCTTCCCTCTATATACCGGTCCATATACAGCACCAACACCACTACTACAACCACCGCCATCGCCACCACTACCGGCAGCCGTCGCTTTTGCTCTCGAACTCGATAAGGGGCGCGAGCGCGCTTGCGTCCTCTGACAGCATAGTGACGCGAAGAGCCGGTATCCTACGATTTCACCAACTACCCTTGCTACCGGCCGACTGGCTGCTGCCTCACGAACTTTCCTCATCTTCCCTTACACTACTCCATTCCATTCGGCTCCATTTTGGCCTATTATCGCTTTCTAAATTGCCACGATCTTACAAATATCACTTCTAACATCGTAATGAAGTCATAAATACGAAGCAATAATGTTTTTATTAAAAAAGAAGCAGTTTTGTCATTTGTTCTATGAATTTTTTGAACGGTAAAATATTCTATATCCATGTCTGTTGACATTTTATTATTATTCGTCAGATATATGATGTAAAATAATATGTTGAATTACTACACAAATTAGTCGTCGTGTTGTATCTTCCTGTTTACTTGAATATTTAATGCGACACAATTAGCCAAGTGGCTAGCGCATGTGGTTTACCCTCATCCTTGGAAACAACCGCGAAGATCACGTTCCCGGAAATATTATAGATACTCATTAAGACAATAAGCACGCACTAAGTTACTAATCCAACTAAAACTTCGCCGGCAGTTTCATGAGTTTCAGCCGCTAGTGGGCTTTCTTAGATTCGATTCGCGTGCCGAGGTTACGGAGGTGTAAAGATGCAGTTCTCACGAAATAAGGTGAAAGGTCAGATAATATCTCTTGCCACGTATCCCTACGCGCCCTAGCGCTACATTATTATTACTATATGATATAATACCTATTCATAATTTTTTTCCACTTGAATTTTTATCAAATTATTTTATCATTCTAAAGGATAGAAGTCCAAGCTTTTTTTCGCTGGCATTGTTACATAATGCACAGTCGTTTCATTATAAATTATAACGCACGTAACACGTTCATTTTTTTTTGCTGACAAGATCAACTTTAATACCAGCACATTTTTCGCGATTATTTTTTACTTTTTCTGTGGGTATTGATATGGCTGTAGCGACTCGATTATACATATATCCGATATTTCTAATGAAAGAGAGCGAGTATACATATACATATACATATGTACATATACTACATATGTGTGTGTGTGTGTGTATATTTGATGTACAACATGCGTGCAAGTATCCAGCGTCTAGTTTGCTGAGAACACGAACGTTTTCGGGTTCTATAAGTTCGTATCTCTCTCTGTCCGTAATCCCTGCGGCACCACCGTATTACTTGCTGGACCTAGCCGAGCAATCGAACCGCAATGATCTCGGTGTAGCCTCGGCGTTTTCGATATACTATATCGATTCGCCGATCACTGACACCGCTGCCATTACCGCGAGGTTAAATGCCTGAGCCACCGGACTTAAAGAGAGATTTTCCACAGTGTCCGATGAAACGGCGACCGTGACTATCGTGGGATATCGGCGTGAAAGAAGCACAAAAGCTAAAGCAGTTATCTGCTTGACCTCGCGAGAACCCGCAGATAAATCATCGATTAAAGGAGATCTTCTGGGACGGAATAACAATCGTCGCCTGCCCCTGGAAAAATTTCGTGGTTCGTTTTATAGATGGATTTGGAATAAACGTGTCCGGTATACAGAAATACGACACAGATTTCAGTCGATGGCATTTCGTATGAAAGATACATAAATATTGTATACTACAGGAATAAAATCTATTATACCGAATCTATGCGGTTGCACCATAGTGGAAAGAAGTATAAGGAATGGATCATGCTGTTATAATGGTATTGTAAAAGACATGCGTGAGATAAATATTGGAAAAATATAAATAAAACATATTTTGTTGATTAATTGCCAATGTAGCGTTCCATTAGAAAGTTTTGCGTTTGGCAAAATATTTTCGTAGATTTATCTTACGAATTCATCTCTAAATTGCCTCGGATGTAAAAACTGTCTGACGAAGAAGTCTACTTGTACAAAAACACCTTGTTTCTCGTTTGCGATGTAAACGATTCATTACGCGCGCCAACATTGACTCTACACATGCTCATCTCCGATTAAGTGCTCTGTAAATTGACCTGAAAAATCCACGTCACTTCGGTGCCGATAGATGTACGCGATGATTTAATCGCTCTAAGCGGCCATAGAATATCGATGGGCCCGACATTTGCGATGCGACAATTTCACCGAATACCAGAAATTTCCGACTTTCCAGAGTGGTTTGATACGTCGCATTCGAGAGGTACGAGTAAACATTGCGATCATGCAGCCATTCCAGTATTTTTTGAACGATTTTACGAAGCACTCTATCTGATGCTGGAACGTTCAAACTTCTTCGCTCATTTAAGTATTACCGTATCTCTGCAACTTTTTTATTGCGCACTCCCGATATTTCAAAATACGGCATTTCAATGTACATACGGCATTTCAAGCATATCGAAAACCGATTTGATCGTTCTAGTTAAAGATTTCAGTTATAAGAATCGAAAAAATACGTCACATAATGGAACATAACTTTGCAACAAATGATTGTGCATTTCTAGCAATTTATTATTGGTTAGACTGATTATTTTATATTATTAGACTGAATAATACATGAATAATAAAGTTATCAGTAATTACAATTACGGCTGGTAAAAACGTATATAAAATTATTTACTGATAATATTTCTATTTTAATAATGTTTGAGAGATAAATGTAAGTACGAGGTATGCTATTAGCAAAATCGTGCAAATATGTTTCATTGCGTCGTTTGAATTTTTCGTGTCAGTCACATTTTTCACTTTTATTCACTACGCTTTGATAAAGGACATTAGCTACGTGAGACATAGAATTAACAATACGTCTCTAACACGTGTTTCTCGTGTGCGTGTCATTTTACGCGCGGAAGGGGTTGATTGCTGGGTGTAAGTGGACATCCAGTATGCGGTAGGGGACGCTCGGGACGGTAGAAGGAAGCGGCGCGCTTGATAAGGGAAATCTTCTTTCGAGCCTGCGGTGCCGACCGACATGTAATTTCCCCGGAATAGAGGACGGAATCCTGGCTCGGATACTACTGCCCGCACGGGTTACAAAGTTACTTTTACGAGAGTAGCGGGCAAATGTAAATGGGGCCGGTGAGCGGCGACGTGGCGCAAGAGAGGGAGCGAGAGAAACGAGCGAGGAACCGAAAAGGGAAAATGAGAGAAAGAGTGGAAGGAACGCAGGGGCGATGTGGAAACGAGCGGCGAAAGGAGGACGAAGGAGCGCGGGATGGAATAAAGGGGATGAGACTGTCGGAGTTTGTAATTGCAGCGGCTTTAACGCGCTGCTGATGGCCGATGGCACCCGGGACTGGGGTAATGGTCTGCACCAAATGTCTCTTCTTGTGAGAGGAGAGGGGGGGAGAGAGAGAGAGAAAGAGAGAGAAACGAGAGACGCGGGAAAGAGTATTCGAAGAGACACCGAGGGTGCCGGAGACACGTGGAGTCGCATCGTTTTCTCCGTCACCGATTTTGTGTGCTCGTTCCTTTCCTGTTGACATTTTTTTCTCGTAGAATGTTGCAAAATCTCAGAGATTAATTAGTCCATTTTTGAAATAGGTATATAAGTTTAATCTCGAAATTCTCGTTGTATGATGAGGAGGCATTTATTAATAATAGATGATTCTAAAGTGTAACAATTTAGCATCAGAAATTGATGTATATTTTCTTCCAGGATATCCTATTTTATTTTCTCTAAATTGCATTGATGATTGAATTCACGTATCATATTTTTACAAACATTTATTCCAGTTTATTTTACGTCTTTGTTAAGTTGGAATATTTTCATCGATATGTGCGTCACATTGAAATTTGATTATACAGCTACGTTGGTCATAGCTGCTTGGTTATGCTGTGGTTGTTGTTTTCTCAAAAGTATTGTTTGTTGTGGATTGCTAAATTTTTTTTCTTCTCATTCAACTGATGTTGCGCTGCAACAAAGCAATGAAGTTCTATTTACACTTCAAGTTATTTAAATATATAAAATTTTTTAATGAAGGGAAGATATTACACTTATTTTGTTAGTTTAATATGAAACGTACGATTTCTTATACTGTTACTAACAATAAAATAATTTTTGTAAAAAATTGCATAATTGGATTATTTTTATTAGATTTCTTTAAAGAGAAATTTAAGGATGATCTTTTCTAAATCTTGAAAATTAAAAAAAAATTATTACTTTATTAATAACGGAAAATTAACTCACGCATCTGTCTTGTAATTTTTCAAAGTGCTTTATCAGACTACTTTTATTTCAATGATGAAATTTAGTAAAATGCAAAATTGTGTTTGCACAGATGTTTTTATGGCTGCAAGAGAGAAAATTTAGTGTGCTTTCTCAGTGCGATAGCAAATACTTTCAATCTTTCTGTGTATATTCACAGATAGATTCTTAACCGAAGCCACTTTTCTATAAATATTTAAAGCACTCGACAGCGTTTGAAGGAAAAAAAAGTTTTCAAGTTGTCCCCGGGATATTTACGTACAATTCATTACCCGAGAGAAAGTCTTTCTCCTCTTTTGCGCGAGCACTTAATCCGCCATTAGTTCAAAGAAGCACTTGTACTGTAAGAACCTAATTGTACTGGGTTGTGTGTACACAACCAAGAAGTTGGAAATGAGAATAATTTTCAGTGCACCGAACATATTTCAATTCAACGCACGTTTTCGCACGACGTCATTGATTGTTGTTTCGATATCAATTTCTCACACGCCTCACCTGCTGAATGATTGATAAAGACAATTTAAAAGTCAGGAACACCCTTTCCCGGCATCAATT